CACCACTTGCTCGAGAGGGCAAGATTGCACAATTTGAGGCTTCATATGCTTAGACCTCCCCTAAACCCTAAACCCTGAGGAGAGGGAGGGGAAGCTGGAATCCAAGCCAAGGTGGCCCGATAGTAGAATCCAACAGACCAGCCAAATGGATGAGGGAATGCAGTTGAGGTCCACAGTTTCAATGAGGAGCTGAATAATACCCAAGGGCAGGTATTCCATGCTTTTCCAATGGACGGAGATAAGCGTCCCACAAGTCTCGCCTATCTGCCTAAAGGTATCCACATGCTAGAAATGGACGGAAATATGCAAGGCTCTCAGCCACAACTTATGTTTGACAAATGCCTCCAAGTCTCTGCACCACCTGGATTGAGAGAGAATGACACCCTTAGAGGAGGGTTTGGCCCAATCGAGAGCTTTACATACACAATAAGGAGAGGGGAAAGAGAAGACAATGGCACTATTGGAGAGGGAGCGGCAGATAAGTTGTGGTTCCGACCAATGTTTTTGGCTCTATTTTTCAATAGCTCTAAGGTCATGCATGTCTGGGTGGGTTAAACCTGCCGACCAGAGAGTTTTGCAGTGAAGATTCGAGGGTGGAGGGCTGATAGTAGTGAAGGTCAATCACGCCTGCTTCGGCCAGATTGCAGGATGAGGAAAAGGGAGTGGTGGAGGGGGGTGACCGAACGACGGAGGAGAGCTGGTGGACTTCAGATGAAGGGAGAACAGAGGAAGGAGGTAGAGCAGGAGGGGGATGAGAATCAAAAGATGAAAGGGGTGAAGGGTTCCGAGGACAGGTCGATGGGGAGGGCATTGGAGACACCGGCAGCAAAGGATAACGAGGAGAGGGCAAGGTGAGTGATGGGAGGCGCAGAGGGTACCCTGGGACGCAAAGATGGGTGTAATTTTCGTAAAGGGACAGGAAGCTGGAGGGGGGAGGAGGATAGGTAAGGCCCCCAAGCAGAGCCTTACCCATGGAAAACGAGAGCTTCTAAAGAGAGAGAGAGACGTGGATTTTTTTTCCAACCATAATATCTCCATCCATAGAAATTATAAATCATTATTTTGGTCCATAGTTACCGGGATTGGGAGTGAGGTCAGATCCCAGATTGGGATTGGGACCATGGGATTGAGAGATGCACAAAGATATATAGATGGGGATCGAGATCTATACACCGTGAGTTAAAGGGATCCTGATCCCAATATGAAAGAAGCGCGATCCAAATTTGTCCAGGATCGAATGATGAAATATATGGGATCGAGGTCCGTCCAGCTTAGAATCCAGGCTCCCCAAGCAAGGTACTCTATATCAGGAACACGCCCATCGAACTATATGATTAATGTTTTTTTTCTAAACTCAAAAACTAAAGTATCGTTAAATAAAAAGAATCTCATTTTTTACATATTTTAAATTTTTTGTTATCAAGGGAATTTTTTTTATTAGTGAGAAGGGAAACTCAAAACCCAAAATAACGATTCAAATTTCAGTCCTCAAGCATATAAGATGATCTAGTGTTTCATGGAAATGTGGCATCCTTTGTTTTCCCTCGTTTCGATCATTTCACTCACATGTGATTGCGTATACTCACCAGATTCGGGAAAGAAAAGAAGAGGGGGGGGAGAGGGGTGGGGTGTGGTTGTGGGCTGTTGGAACCTAACTATGGTTCCAAGTTTAAACTCCCTTTTTCCTTCCCTAAAACGCACGTGAACACCTTAGGTCCTTCAATAACCTCAGGCAAAATAAACTTTAACTAAATAGTCCCAACTTAAAATAAAAACTTCTTAATGATATTTTTGCCCCTGATAAAACAAAATATTCCATAAGCATTCGAACTACTTTTCTAAACAACTCCTAAAATCCGAACAAAAAAAAAAACCCTAGAACCCCTAAAAAAAAGTACATCCCCCATAAATAAACACTAAAATTAAAATTAAAATATAGATCCTTTGAAATTAAACCTTGACCCCAAATAATTAAGATCAGGCTTGGATGATGATCCTTTGAAATTAAACAAAAATAAAAAATAAAAATAATTATGTCCCGCATCACAATCCCTCTATAAACTTTGGCAAAGAAAGAAGGTTGGGACACCCCTCACCTAGTATGACGGTACTTTCCTTCTTAGATGGACCTACCCCATCTTTAGCAAAGGAATAATTGTTGTTAAACCGATCATGTATGGTGTGCTAGTCATATTGCCATGGTTTATCCAATAACATGCATCCATAAGCACAAGATAGCCCCATATTTCACCTTTGTAATGCATCTCCAATATAAAAAGAAACCAGACGGCATATAGAAACTGTTACCTAATTGCTTTTCTTGAACCAAGCTATCTTGTATGTCTTTGGTGGCTTTTCATCTTCAATTTCAGCTTGTCCATCATTTCCTAAGAAACAATATTTTCACAAACACTTCCCCCCCCCCCCCGGTCGATGAGATTACAGACCTTCCTAAAGGCAGCGCTTCGCATATAGGAAAAATTAGTGCACAACCAATCTGCCTCGTCATCACCAAAGCCTTCCCATGGTCACTAAATGTCATTTCGGATTACATCTCTTCAAGCACCTCATCATAAATGTGGTTGTCCTTTTCGAAAACTTCCTTGGAAAGGTTCACAAATTTCTATTTTGGCACTGAGAGAAGACATGGCCGCCCACAAACTCAACGCACAAAAGGCCTGCTCCATCCTCCCTCCTTCCCTAGCAGCCGCCAACAGGCCGTGCTCAAATCAGGCCACCCCTTCCCCAGACCTTAAATTTTTTTTTCTCTAGGCTAGGCCCATGCCCCGCCTGAATGCCTCTATTGAGGCCGGGGCCTGACCTACAGTTACAAAGATGGTTTTAAAAAAAAATAAAAAACAAACTCAAAGGTGGTGAGCTTTTGAACCCTGTGAGCCCAAGACAACCATTTCTTGCAATTTGCAACTAAAGCAATGTTCTTTGGTGCGTCAGATGCGAAGAAGACAACATTGAAGAGAGAGATCAAAGAAATGGGACCACCTCTCCAAAGAATTTCATAGTGCAATACTTGCTCAATAGGTCTGCAAATAGAGCCATACTGCAAAACAAATTTAGATTGTGAATTTTTTGCAGAGGTGGCCAAAAGAAATGGAGCCATCTTACAAGAGAGATGGAATTATCTTTCAGTTGGCCACTCAAAGAAATGGAACCATCTTACCGAGGTACTTCATTAGACAATTTTTGGTTTGGAAATTCAAACTCAGGCACTGGAGAGGGTTTTTTTCTGCAGATGACTTTTTCGATGGTGGCTTTTGCATAGATTTTTATATTGTATAATAGACATTATAGTCTAAAACATATAGAAACGACAAAAATTAATATTTACTAGTTTATGTAACATAGACTAGATATGATTTTGAGTATCATGCCAGCCATGGGTCACACAAATAGGGCCCAAAATTAAATCGGGGCAAGCCAACTTGCCCATCCAGGGCGCAGGCACGGTCCGAATGCCCGTGGGCCAGGCCGGAGCATTTGCCCAACTCAACCTTCCACTTCTTCCTGCCTTTTCCTCTCTTCTACCACTGATATGAGTTCATTCTCTCACCCCAACCCCCCGCCCTCCCCGCTCCCTACTTCTGATCCCTTAGAATCACTCTACTCCCACTCCACTATACCATGCCTCCTATAATGCCTCCCCAACCACCAAAAAAAAAACTGCCAAAAAACTTTCAAAGTGCTCCCATGTTAAAAAAAAAAAAAAATTAAAGTGTTCCCTTTCTTCCCTCGCAATTTATGATGATGCTTATCCCCACCCCTCCACTCTGACCCCTAAGTTCTACATACAGATCTATCCATGTCCACTTCACTGGTTGGGTTCTCCCAGCTCACATCATCCCTATTCAAAACCATCTTCAAACAACACACTCCTCCATCACCAAACCATCTGGTTGCCCCTTCCCCTCTTTCTGTCCTGGCTACTGAACCTCAACTAGTAACGCTACCTAGAATTCCTGAAGCACCAACCCCCCCCCCCCCCCCCCCACCCACCAGTGGGCCCCTTGCCGAACTCGACCCCAGCCAACTCATAGTGACTCTCCTCTCACCCATCAAGCCCCCCATCCGAACCACGGTGACTCCCCTCTAACCCAACTCGTGCTGAAAACAAACTCTGAAGAGTCATACTTCTCTGCCGATGAAGAGGAGATTGAGCAAATTGACCATGGAGAGGCCAGCATCGACAAAATCCTTCAAGTCATGGGCTTTGTGTATGAAAGCATCGCCACCAATTTTAATGACATATTCAGAGAGAACACAGGAGAAAAGGCAGGTCTGAGCGTCGTTCTGACCCATCTGGCGGGAGGCTAACCACATATTTGAGACTCTCGCCAAGGATCGCGCGACAGGGGGACCCATGGGTACTGGTTAGCAGCTTTTGGACCATAGTACCCATGTGAGGGGTCGATCTCCCACCTGTTTACTAACAGTGAGAGTGGTCAGCCACAGTTTTTGTTATAATCCCAATTCTTTAATTCCTTATACTATATCAAGCACCAAACCTGAGGATGCCTTTTCTTCAACATGTAACAAACTTATACCTAATACAATACAAGTCAACACTTTCAAATAATGATAATGATGAGGATGAGGATGAGGATGATGATGATGATGGTAACAATACGTGCGTACAAGCCAATATTGACTCTGAAGAAGCCAAGTCACTACATGACATGCCGTTGATTGCATCTATGTAGCATGTCTGTCAACAAAAGCCTACTGTAAAATCATTTACCATTATCACGTTTTAACTTCCAACATGATTAAGTTGTGAAGAAATTGACAATTTCAACAGATCCATGATAAAGATATCTTCAGTCATAAACATGAAATGCAATAATATCTACTGCAGATTATTTAAATAAACCTTAGAAGTAGCACCCACATGAGCACTGTGATTCATGTGATTCAAATATTTAACCCACAAGAAAAAAATTTCAAGTTAATCAATTCCAACCATTGGATGAGCCAGAAAACACTACCTCAAATTCCTTCCCTTCATGATAAAGATCACCATGAGTAGTCAATTTTGGTTTTGTTTGATATTTAAAGAACGCATCATGGAGGACCTGCAAAAGGGAAACATCCTTAAGAAACTATCCACTTATATATGAAGATGTACCTCATCCTGAACTTCCATAATCAAAGGAATCAATTTACACACTGATTTGTTCTTTTATAAGTTGACAACAGCAAGAAGATGATGAATGTGCATCACAAAAGGACATTTTACAAGCTACAGAACGTGCAACAGTCACTAAACTAACCTGATAATCAATATCCATCTTTCCCATCTTTGGCTGCATACGTTCTCTTTGCTTTTGTTTCAACTTCTTACCATCCTCCTTTTCGATATATGCCTGCAGTGATAATGCAATGAAACCAATTATGAATTTTTCAGTACATGAACATGCAAAAAAATTTCAAATAGACAATTTAATCCGAATGGACAATCATGCATCTGAACACCAAAAGCTCATTCTATTCTACATAAACTATCACCTGCAAAAAGCTCATTGCTTTCTACATAAACTCTCACCTGTCTTATTTTCTCAATACCAGTTGCCGCAATAAAATCTGGAAGTTGAAAAGGCTGTTTTTCAATGCCACGTTTTCCCTGCAAGAATTTCATGAAAGATGAAAACCATATCTTCAAGATTTAAGGTGAAGCCAGTGACTGCTACATCAAGTTTAGAAAAGCCAAAATGAAAGTTTGAACGTTTTAAGGGGAAATAAATAGCCAACAACCTCTCCGCAACACCTAAAGAGGAGATTCATCTTCCAATGAAAGTATTCCCATACCGAACCAGAAATAAATAAAAATCATTAACCATCGCACTAACCTAGACATCTTACTTTTACAAGTTTTCATCATAACACGGTCAATAACACCCCACCCAACCTAGAAATATATATCATAAATGAAAACCATTCAAAGCTGCCTTTCGCAGACACCAACAGGTTGTAGCTCCATGATTGTTACATCCAGTGAGTGAACCAAATTCCCCTGCAACAACCACATATACAAATAAGAGGGTGGCTACCTTATCGATTATATGTTCCCACACCCTCTTGTTGGCCCCCCTCCTTTATTGTGCACATCAAGCATACATGCAGACAACAGCCATATGACTTCATATCAGATGTGATTACTCACCTGTAGGAATTTTCGTTTCTGGCACCAATGTCTTGGAACAGGTACTGTATTTCGGTATGATTTGAGGAATACAAGCAACTTGGGATCTGCTGCAGTTGCATCCCAAACCTGTACATATAAGACCAGATTTAAACTCCAGACAATGAATCTTGAAAAAATATAGAAAATGAAAAATAATAAAGACCAACACACATCCACAACCACATAACAAACAATATGTAGGGGTCTAATACACGTGTGTCGTAGATAGATAGCTACATGCATCTAGAGTCTCACAAGTATTTACATTCTATATGGATATTTTAGCCTATGGCAGCTTGGTTTGACTACCGATTGTGTTTATCATAAAATTTAAAATAATGGATTTTGCTAATGAATTGGGCGATTCAACTCCATCCAAGTTATGGATACTAATGTCCAATTTCACAGACAAGGCTTGCATCTGATAAACTTCAGCACATCACATTAAATCTGTTATTAAAATATATAGCCAATTACTTCCAAAAACATTCAACTCCATCCAAGATAGGGATACTAATGTCCAATTTCACAAGACAATGCTGGCATCTGATAAACTTCAGCACATCACATTAAATCTGTTATTAAAATATATAGCCAATTACTTCCAAAAACATTGCATCAGATATGTGTATGATACAAATGTACACATGTTCTCCATAAAACTTAAATGCACAAGATAATTAATACAAGTGACCGCCCGGTTGCAGTGAAAAATAAGCAAGGGTTCCCGCGATATTCTGGACGAGCGTGGGTAAAGAAGCTAATCCAAAAGAATAAGATTCATCTAGTCACATAGAATGCATGAATGCTAAGAAGTAAGAATGTTAACAGGTAAGAGTATGGACTACAGAGTTAATAGATACAATAAGACGAAGGAGAATAAACATAGCTTATCTATAGGAAACTAAATGGAAGGGGAAAAAGCTATAGACATTGATGGAATAAACTTTTGTGTATAGGAAAGAATAATAATAGAGGTGGTGTACGCATATAATAAATAGACAAAACTTTAAAAGATAAAATAATTAAGAGAGTAGGTGATAAGCTTCTATTAATAGAGGTGGTGTAAGCATATAATAAATAGACAAAGATTTAAAAGATAAAAATATCAAGAGAGTAGGTGATAAGCTCCAATTAATTAAACTAATGTTAGGGGAGGAGATAATTAATGTAATTAGTGTTTATACACCATAGGTAGGACTAGAAGCCAGAATTAAGAGACAAATCTGAGAGGACATGGATGGACTAGTCCAAGACATACCAAAGGGAGAGACAGCTTTTTCAAGAGGGGACTTAAATGGTCATGTAGGGAAGAATACTGGAGGATAATAGGATATGAAGGAATCAACAGTGGACATGGGTTTAGGGAAAGGAAATGAGATGGGTGAGGCATTGGATTTTGCTATGGCCTATGACCTAGCAATAACACACACCTACTTTAGAAAGCGCGATGGGTATTTAATAACTTATGAAAGTGGATCATATAGTAGGAGTAGAGATGAGGAAGTAATTAAGATTGATGGCTAAGAAATACCAAAAAGAGCGCATTTTTTACTTCTTGGGTTGATAATCCAAGAAAATGAAGAAATTAAGGAAGATGAATTAGAGCTGGGTGGAAGAAGTGGTAATGTGCAACTTTTTTGCAATCACCACATGCCAATGAAGCTGAAGGGAAAGTTCAATAGAACAGCTGGGAGATCAGCTTTGCTTTATGGGGCGGAATGATAGGCAGTCAATAAACAACATACCCATAGGGTTAGTGTAGCTGAGATGAGGATGTTGAGATGAATGAGTGGAAAGACAAGAAGGGATAGAGTTCAAATAACTACATTTGGAAGAACTTAATATGGCTCTAATAGGTGATAAGATAAGAGAAAGTAGACTTAAGTGGGCTGGTCATGTGCACCGCAGACCCAGTACAACACCTGTTAGAAGGTGGGAGTTGGTTCAAGTGGAATGCTCAAAAAGGGCAAGGGGTAGGCCCAAAAAGACATTGTTAGAAGTAGTGAGAAAAGATTTAGAGACTTACGGCCTCACTTAGGCTACGGCTTTGATAGAGCAAATGGCAAACCAAGACACATATAGTCGACTCCAAATAGTTCGGAAAAGTCTCCAACGATGATGATGATTATGATGATAAAAGTGGATCATATAAAAGCTAGATAAACTTCTTACCACTTAAGAAGGGAGATCACCCACCATGTAAAGACTGTAAGATTATCACAAGAGAGAGTTTGACCACACAATATAGGCTCATGGTTATAGATGTTTGTATAAAGATATGGAAGAGAAGCAGTGAAATCAATAGGTGTCCAAGAACTAGGTGCCGATATCTTAAAAATAGACAATAGACTATTTAGGGATAAATTGGTAAAAGAAGGAAAATGGGACTCTAAACACAAAGTTAATATTAATTTAAAAAAAAAATGAAGAATGAGATGACTGATTGTAGTAAGAAAGTCACAAAATAAGTTTTAGGAGAAAATAGAGGGAAAAGAAAATCCGATGAGGAAAATTGGTGGCGGAGCGATGAGGTCAAAAGGCCATTAGCAAAAAAGGGTCATGTTATACAACTTGACAATGCAATAGAAATTATCAAAACTTAGAAGAATATAAAAATGCTAAGAAATATTTTTAAAAACATAGTAAGGCTACGCTTAAAGCATATAATAATTCATATAATAAACTGGGAACAAAAAAAGGTCAAAAAGATGTGTTCAAACTAGAAAAAATAGAGAGGAAGTATAGGGATCTAGACCATATTAAATACATTAAGAGTGAGTATCAGAGGGTTTTTGGTGAAGGATGACGAGGTCAACAAAAGTGGAGTGTTACTTTTGTCATAAATGAGGGCGGAATTCAAAGATGCATTTGCAGGATTAGGATATCCAAAGTAAAAGCAGCTTTGAGAAGGATAAAGATAGGAAAGGCTTTAGGATGAGATGGTATCCTGATAGAGGTTTGGAAGTGTTCAACAAGGTGTTAAGAGAAAAGAAAAGGTCATACAAATGCATGAAAAGGTATTGTGGCACCTATTTATAAGAACAAGGAGACATATAGAATTGTGCAAAGTATTGAAGAATCAAACTTACGAGCTACACTATGAAGTTGTGGGAGAGAGCAATTGAGCAATGACTAAAGCATAAAATGAGTGTATCGAAAAATCAATTCAGTTTTATACCGGGGAGATCAATAATTGTGGCCATTTTCCTACTTAGGCAACTATTAAAGAAGGGAAAAGACCTCCAAATGGCCTTTATTGATTTAGAGAATACTTACAATAGGGTGCCTAGAGATCTAATTTAGTCTGTGTTGGAAAAGAAACAAGTCTCCAAACTCTAAATTGACATGGTGAGAGATATGTACGAGCAAGCACTAACTAGTGTGCAGGCAATTAGTGGAGAAACATGTAAATTTTCAATGACAATAGACCTACATCAGGAGTCAGCATTGAGCCCATATATCTTTGTTTTAATTATGGACGATTTAACTAAACACCTAACAGATGAGGTATCGTGGTGAATGTTATTCGCTGATGACAGTGTTTTGATCGTTGAGACTAGAAGCAGCGTCAACACGACCTACATCAAGAGTCAGCATTGAGCCCATATCTCTTTGTTTTAATTATGGATGATTTAACTAAACACCTAACATATAAGGTACCGTGGTGAATGTTATTCGCTGATGACAGTGTTTTGATCGTTGAGACTAGAAGCGGCGTCAACACGAAGTTAGAATTGTAAAGGGATGCTCTAGAATCTAAAGGTTTTAAAATTAGCCAGACCAAGACAGAATATATGGATTGTAAGTTTTGTATAATAGGAGTAAAAACGAGGAAGCAATTTAGATTTATGGCCAAGAAATACAGAAAAGAGAGTAATTTCAATAACTTCGGTCGATAATCCAGGAAAATGGAGAGATTTAGGAAATGTCACATATAAAATTAAAGTTGGGTGGGCTAAGTGGAGATGTGCAACAGGAGTTTTATGTGATCGCCGTATACCAAAGAAGCTAAAAGAGAAGTTCTATAGGACAGTTGTCAGACCATCTTTGCTTTATGGAATAGAATGTTGGGTGATCAAGAAATAACATAATTATAGGATGAGTGTAACTGAGATGAGGATGTTGAGATGGATGAGTGGCAAGAAAAGAGATGATAGACTTCAAAATGAATACATTCAAGGGAACTTTTCCTATGTGCAGGAGACTCATGGGCAAATAATTACAAAGGCCTTTGTAACTTACTTCAAAAGACTTCCTAACCAATTGCACCTCTGTAACGTACTTCAAAAGACCTCTGACAAACACAGAATCAAACGTCAAAACCAAAACAAAGTTGGAATACTTTTCTAACATCTAAAAATAACTTTATTGGTATCAAAGATCAAGAGAAAACTGGTTGAAAGCAGGGGACCATAATACGGGTTTCTTTCACTGAACAGCTAATTGTCAAAGAAGGGACAATACCATCTCGATTATCAAACTGGATAATCGCTATTTGGTGCAACCAGAGGAAATAGAGTTTGCCATTCTTGATTTCTTCTGGACCCTATACGCTACCCCAACGGGTCCAAGACCGAGATGGACCACTCTTGATTTCCTAACCCTTTCGGAAGACCGGGCACTCTAGTAGAGCGCCCTTTCTCGAAAGAAGAAATCTTAAAGGCTATTAATGAATTAGCCAAAGACAAAGCACCCGGTCCAGATGGGTTCCCCATAGCACAGTTTAAAACTTTCTGGGAAACTTTCCATCTAGACTTCTTAAGCTTCTTTGACGAATTCTTCCACAGGGGAATTCTCCACAAAGCCATTAACGCTACCTTCATAGCCTTTGTCCCTAAGGTTGATGGGACCGAGGAACTAAAGGATTTTCGTCCAATTAGCCTCCTCAATTCCTCATACAAAATTATGGCCAAGGTTCTGGCCTCAAGGCTACAACACGTCCTTCCATCTATCATCTCACCGTCGCAAACAGCTTTCATCAAAGATAAGCAAATTCTAAATGGAGCCTTAGTAGCACATTAGTGCATCCACTCTAGGCACTTGTCCAAGAAGCCTAGTCTTATCTTCAAGATAGACTGGGAGAA